CAGCGCTGAACCAGGCTCTAGTACGACGCGATGCAGTGCTGCGCTCGGCAGCGGCGTGCTGTGAGCCGCCTCGTGTGATTTCCAGCCGTTCGAGACTCTCAAAGGGAAGAATCTCATACTCTTTCAACAGAGCGAGCTGGAATTTGAACTGTTCGGGTAATGGCGTGGAGCCCGAAAATCACTCTGTCAGGGGCTGAGGCTGGGCCAGCCACTAATGAGCGACAGACGCTCTCTATTAACCCCTCTCTGCTCCCAGAAGGGAGAGAGAATAAGGGGGAGTGAGTTACAGGTTGGAAAAGACAACTAAAACAGCTTTAATGAAACAATAACTCTACAAGAAAAGATAATAATAATAGTAAGGAAATAATGAAATATATACAAATACATACAAAAGCAATACCAAACCGACCCCCCCTGAGCGTGATACATTACCACTGACGCTGCAGGGCAGGCACTGGGGAAGTCCCAGACTGGACTCAGCGGCAGCAGACAGGAACTGGATACAGGAGCTGGATTCAGGAGCACACCGATCAGGATGAAAGGCAGAAGAACGAACAGAGTCTTCCTCAGAAACCGGCCATTGAAGAAGAGGGCTTAACCCTTGTGATCCCTGAGCTTTATACTGAGTATGACGTATAGGGAATGGAACTCTCTGTTGGTCAGTTTTGGGTCACCTGTCCTGTCCACTCCTCCCCGCAAGTGCAACCCTTTTACTTCATTATGATGCTTTTACTCACGGCACTTCAGCATGGGGCACAAGATTTCGCGGTGACCTTGGTTTCTCTAGGAGCAAGTATAAGCAAGAGCCTTTTTGCATACCATTCCTTGGTAGTAGCTATAAACATCAAGCACTATCACTTCTAGAAGCAAACACTGTCTGGAAAAATATGCCGTTAATATCAGAAAGTGCAGTCACTTAGAAGAGACTTAGCTGAAAAGTAAAATCGCTGAATGGAGAATTGGTTCTGTTCTAGCTCAAACCAGGACAACTGGCTGGTATTAGGAGCCAGTGCTGGCAGAAGTATTCTGGTGCTTAGACACAGCTGTTTGTGTGGTGCTGTGTTGTTGTTTGTGTAGTGATTTTACCAACATTAAAAACTTGAATCAACTGTAACAGAATCCACTCAAATATAATTTTAATATGTGCTAAACCACAATGGAAATAGTCCATGTGAGAAATGACAGTGCTAGATTCCATGTTCAAGTTGGCATCATATATATTATTGCCTTTGAAAAAAATTTTAAAGTAAGAGGAATGCTTTTACATTCCTCTCCTCAATCCATACAATGATTATATGTTAAAACTCAGTTCTAACAGAAGAACTACCTATCTCACAAACATACAAAACCTGTTTTCATCTGTAAAAAGCTGCATGGTTTCTCTTGCTTACAGATGACAAGACATTCCAGTGTGAGATGTGTTTCAGATTCTTTTCTACAAACAGTAATCTTTCAAAACACAAGAAAAAGCATGGGGATAAGAAGTTTGCATGTGAAATCTGCAATAAGATGTTCTACCGAAAGGATGTCATGCTAGACCATCAAAGGCGACACTTGGAAGGTAAGGATATGGCAGATTGACCTAATTATTATTAGGTTGATTAATTATTATCAACCTAATTATTAATTAAATAATTATCTTTGAAATGGCAGTAGAGGTGGGAAGGTGAAGGATATTATTGTGCGTTACATTCTTCTGGATAATAGCTGTCATTTTTTTTTGTCACTTACCTGATCTGGAGTAGCAGGTCTCAGCAAAATGTGACATTTATTAAAAATAATAGTAATGGGTCCCAGAAAGCAGTTGTCTAATTCTATGAAAAACTTTCTAGGAGATGCACCTACCTTTTTTTTTTTTTCAGCCTCATGTGATTGGATCCAGTGCTACTAACAGTCATGTGAAAGTTGCTTGCCTTATTATGCAGTAGTTTAGACTAGCTGGTTTTAATTTTATTTTTTTCTTTTTTTGAATTCTATTGCGGGGGTTTTTTAGAAGTGTGGTAACTTGAAAATTTTAAGGCAGAGAATTAACTTTCAATGTACAACTGCAAGTGACTACTGTATATATATATGTAGTACAGATGGAATGCTGTGTGATGTTATCTTTAAAAACCTTGAGAATATATCAGAATAAGATTATAAGAGTTGACTGTTCAAAATCTCTTAACATCTAAGGATGTTATAGGTACTCAAAGACTCTGGAAAAACTTGGGTGATGATAGATTGCTGAAATGTGTATTAAAATGCCTCTAGCAATCTAGATGATAAAACCAAAAGTGACTTAAAAAAAGCAGCCAGATTGTCTAATTTGGTGCTTTGGGCATAGCGGACCGCCAGTGGCTGCTGTTGTGATTGAGACCTTTGTGTCACGAACTAGAGGACAAGGGATTGAATGGCAGCGGCAAGGTGTCTCATGTTTAGCTGTCACAGAACAGCAGCAGCCCTCTTCCCTCCTGAAAGTAGCAGAGAAAGAGATCTGAAATCCTCATTGAGCATTGAAGATGGTGCTGGGTGGTTCCCTCTCTCCCTAGAGACTGTGAGGGGTAATTTCTGGGCCAGATACGTAATTGAAGTGCCAAGGCCTACTAGATCTGCCTGTTACCAGGTGTTAACAGTAAATGTCTCTTTTCAAAAACTCTACAATAAGCCATAATACACCGCTTTGGCAGACTGCTTTTATATTCTCAAGACACTGTTTTAATTTAGAAATTATCCTTTTGTTAGCAATTACGTTCTGCATTGAGGCTCTTCCCAGTGTTTCACTCTTCTTTACAGTATTCACCTGAAAGGGCATGCAGATTGGAGTGGAAAAGCATGGTTTATTTTTTTTGCTTTGTTTTTTTGATGGGGACTGTTCTGTTAAGGGGTGAGGCGTGTGAAAAGAGAAGACTTTGAGCATAGCACGGAAAACATGGTTCGCTACAAGAAGGAGCCTTCGGGATGCCCTGTGTGCGGGAAGGTAGGCGACTTTGCCAGCGTGTGCCGTGTGAAACTGCATTGTAGCTCCAAGGACACTCCAGGGGTACGGTGTGCCTCAACTCAGCACCTCCAAACGAGTTACTGTGGCATAACAAGTTACCACCCATGTATTAAACCACAGTAGCAGCTGCCTGAGTAGGCACACTGCCTGCCAGAAGGCTGAGGTAAACGGCTTGCACTGAGGTACGTGCCAAGTCAGATTACCTCACAACTCGGACAGGCAAGTAGTTAGTTACCAGTGAGCCCTGTCACCCAGCCAAGGCTTTAAACTGCCTTAGCTTCAAGCCCACTGTTGCCATGGGTGGTGGGAGCTGTTAGGACAAAGAAAAGAATAAAACTAAGTTCAGACTAGGTGTTTTTTCAGGACATGTAGTGTGTAACATGGCCACTGTGTCTGTCAGTGAAATCTCATGGCTTGTGTTATTTAAGGTGAAGTTTTTCTGCCGGGACGTAAACAGCTGGAGTTGTGTGCGTTGGGAATCATTTTCTGTTAGAAATCAAAGTGAATTCATGGTGTAGTCGTGTCACTATTGCATTTGGGTGTTTAATGCTTATGATCTTAAGTTGCCGTTACCACAGGTACAAGGACTGTGGGTTTAACTAGTGATTTTATAAAAGTTTAATGATTCATGGTGCAAGATGTACTCAAGCAACTCTTAAGTTGGTGTGTAGACCTTTGGTTTTGATGCTTTGGATATGTTACATGTCAGTGAAGGTAGATTTTGTGGACGCGTCTTTTTATAGATAGGTGGATCATTCGTGATTCAAAAGACACTATCTAAATATTTCTAAATGTACCCTATGTAATTCTGCTGCAGCTTTTTTTGGAAGTCCACCTCTGATGAATGGCCAATTTCAGGCAGTTCCTTCAAACTGTATACCTGTACTTTGCTGTGCCAGCAGTTTCTCAGGTAGCCTGCTGGCTGGATAACAGGAGCTCCTGCATGTTTCTGGCCAGAATGAATAAAACAGGACAGTAAATATGTGCTGTGCTCTCCATTGGATAACTTGCAAAGAACTGTAACCCTACTGGACATGATACAAGAACCCTTCCTTCCTTTCTTCTTTTCTTTTAGGTGTTTTCATGTAGGAGCAATATGAACAAGCACCTTTTAACACACGGAGACAAGAAATATACTTGTGAAATCTGTGGACGTAAATTTTTCAGAGTGGATGTGTTGAGAGATCATATTCATGTCCATTTTAAGGTATTGTGTTAATAATTTGTTAGAAGCATGTTACTCAGCAGACACAGAAACATATCAATACTGAGACTGTTATGTGGCCGTATTCATAGTGGCAACACAACAGTGATCATGTGCCCTGTGCAGCGATGCTTCTACAGCAGCCTGGCATGAGCTGTGCTCTGATCTGCCCATGGCTCCGTTTCCACATCTGGATTGCCCCAGAGTATGTGGACTATCGTATCTGAAGTTATTTCAGCCGCCGCTGCGGAACACTGTTCTGAACGCTGTGGGAAAAACACCTCTGTGACCTTGGGTGAATCACAGAGATTGCTCAGTTTAAAGTGAGGAGAATAACTTAACAGGGAGGCTGCAGACAGACGTGTTGTTCCAGTTGTAGTTTGGTTGGGGAAAAAACAAACAAGAGAGCTAACTGTTCCTGCCCTTTCCCTGCCAGTGACTGTGATTGTCTTGTATATGCCAGCATAACTACCTGTGTACTGAGTCCCTTACCTGGTTTTATCAAAATGTTCCAAATTGCAAAAAAACCCCACCCTATTAATAGTGCTTAATCAGACTATTTTGATGTAACTAGGTTAATGCTGAATTGTAAGGGAATTGTATCACTCAGTGATGCTTATAAAGATGCTTTTATGGGTGTAATGCTGTACCAGTTGAGTCTCTGTTTACATGAAAGTTCCTTTTATACAAAAAATTGAGTATTATTTGTTTGGATAAACAGTTGTTCCTTATTTAGTTGTGGAGAGAGGAACCTTGTTTACGTGGATTGAATGGAGCAGGAGGATATTTGAAATAAATAATGTTCCAGCAATTGTTAATGCAAAGCAGTCCGCATGGCAACCAGAGCCAACTAGGTGTTACCTTTTGAAATAGAAGTTTAACTTATTAAAACAGAATGTTCTTTCCCACCCTACACAGGACATAGCATTAATGGATGATCACCAGAGAGAAGAGTTCATTGGTAAAATTGGAATCTCATCAGAGGAAAACGATGACAACTCGGATGAAAGTGCAGATTCTGAGCCTCACAAGTATAGCTGCAAAAGGTGCCAGGTAGCTTTAAATACTTTCAAATTAACTTGTTTCGGGATGGGGGGAGGGAGTGGAGACGTCTGTAAATCGTTCCGAATTTTAAATAACATTAAGGGTTCACAAAGAGGCCAGTCCACAGGTATGCTGTCTTCTGCAGTGCTTGTTAGTTCTAATCTATGAAGTGATGCTATTCCGTAAGACTTTAGGTGGTCTTCTGCAAGCTGAATGCTGAACACTGAAAAAGAGAAATACACATACATATGCTTACCCATCTGCAAGGAAGCAAGCAAGCCAAACTGGAGGAAGAAGCAGCAAAGGAACATTCAGATCTTTTTGGTTTTAATTATGTGCAAATTAAAATAGTTACAACATTTCTGAAGGATACAGTCCACAAACTGATTCATTTTTCTGAGATGAGGTGGTCCTCTAGTGGATATCCAGTTTGGAGGATTAAGACTGCTGCTTCTGTTCAGCGTGACTGCTTATTCTTGGCCTACTCTATTACTGACGGAACGGCATTGGAAGTACTGCTGGAACTACTTTACTGAGTTGTCAGCTGAGAGGGGAAGACTTTTTAAACCTCTTACTGCTTGGCTTTTGCCGTTTTGTAAAAAAGTAACGGGGAAGAATGGCATCCTGAAGGCCCATGTTGATTCCGTGCCCGTACCAGGGGAGAACGCTGTACTGGGGCGGGTGGGATGCAACAGCAATCAGTGAGAAGAGCAAAACTGTCCCAGCTGGCATAGGTACAGGGGAATTTTGGTAGTTAAGCCGCTGACTTGGCCCCTGGAAATCAGAGCTTATTTCACAGTCTGCAGTTAATGTGGTTGAAAGCGCTGAGCTTATCTTCATTTTAAAGACGTGGAGATAATAATAGTTCAGTTTTTAGTTTTCTGTTCTTACTGCAAACAGATTTTAAGTGCAAACTGATTTTAAGCTTAGTCAGTAAGCATAGGAAGATGTGGTATCACAGCAGTTAATCACGTGCATGCTTTCAATGTGGTCATTTTGACACCTGGCCCTTAATGGGTACATAAGCTGTATAAAATTGTATGCTTCCAAATGAGGACAATTGTGCCATTCAAATTAGAAGGCTCTTTTTGGAAGCTGGGGGTTTAGTGCTTGTGCAGGTGTTTGTGAAGTTAACAGTTGCGTAAGGCAACAGCTGTGGAAAATGAGTGTTACCTGTGATGAGGTGGGGAAGCTCTTTTTGCCTGAAAATACACACGTTCCTAAGGGAGAACAACATATGAATGAATCTGAGTGACATAGAATCTCTTCGGAGCTCTTAAGAAGATCTCTATTTTTTTCCTCATCCCAAAGTACACATTCACCAAGCTGTGCAGTGCTGTCAAAAAGACCATGACTAGTTCCAAAATTGGTGGGAAAAGATCACATCACTATGGCACTTTGCCCTGATATGTTGGAGCGTATATGCATATGCAGGGTTACTTAGTCCAGGGAGCTAAGTAGTGGAGCGCCTGTCTGTCATGGATGTAGCACTTTGAAGAGCTGAGCTGGAATCACTGCCCTGCAGTGCCTAGAAATTCCGACTCCTCCGGAGCCAGTGCCAAAGCCTACTATGCAGCTAGAGCTTACCCCTAGAGCCCAAAAGACACTTTCTCCATCTGTGGCATCCTTGCTTTGACAGCTAGTGGAGGTTAAACATGGTTCTCTTCAAGGCTGTTCCTCAGTGCACAAATAGTTGGAGGTCCTGTAGTTGTGCCGTGTAAGAAGCAGAGATACCATCTCAAGCTAGTTTTCCAAATGAGGTCACTGATGTCCTGTAGCAATGTGCTCGTAATGACCAAAGAGGCTCAGGCCTAAATCCAACTTTCACAGATTTTTCATCTAGTAATACATAGGATATTTATCTCTACTAGCTCTGACTCTAGATCCTGGTGATGTGTTGCTAGTTCATTACTGTTCCCAAAGACTTTTTTTCCCCTTTCATTCACTATTGGTTCATTCCACAGTTGACTTTTGGCAGAGGGAAGGAGTACCTGAAGCACATAATGGACGTGCACAAGGAGAAGGGCTATGGCTGTAGCATTTGTAATCGACGTTTTGCCTTGAAGGCAACTTACCACGCACACATGGTCATTCATCGGGAGAACCTGCCTGATCCTAACGTGCAGAAGTAAGATGACGTGTTGGACTGATAAAAGGAGCTATTTTTTTGAAGTTACAGTGCTGATGCTTTTAAGAGAATTGGGCTGTACTAAAATATCTGAAACTGTATAATGAGTGTTAAAACGTTTGTCAGAAGCTTTATATATATATATACATATATATATATCACTAATGATTCCCTTCATACAGGTGATTAGTCAACAGTCTCCCACTTTGGGCTTTATAAAGTGTAAATCTATGACTTTGGTAAATATTTTTGAAAAACTGTGATTTGAGCAATGCCAGACTGCGCCAAGCTTGCAGTGTACTTAGGGGTTTCTTAAGGCTCATTTTAAAAATGCATTTATGTTTCAAGGAGACTTTTATAGTAATTAGTACTACAAATGAAATATAGTTGCTGACAGTGATGCCTGAAAACCACCTCTATCTCAGGAAAAGAATGACAGTTTTTGGTCTCTCTGGTTTCAGATACATCCATCCATGTGAAATCTGTGGAAGGATTTTTAACAGTATAGGGAATCTGGAAAGGCATAAGCTTATACATACAGGTAAAAATGTTGTGTTTCGTTATTATTATCAATGTTAAAAAAAAATTTGTTGGCAGTGCCTGCCTTATTTTTTTCAGGAGAAAATAAGTTGTGGGTTTTACTGTGAGTTACAATAAGATAAATGTTATATTTATGCTTTTAGGATAGACCAGTTTTCTAAAGCAGATCGTATTAATGAAGATATTTGGTCTAGGCACACAATCCAGATTCCTAGTTAATATGATGCAGGATTCAGCTGCTAAAAATGTTAATTCTGTATGCTGTTCTTCCTTGGGTTCTTATCCATGCCACCCTCTCACCATTACACAGGCTGAAAACTGCTATTGCAAAATCATTTTTAACAGCTCATTATTATTTCATGCTATTCAGTATTTTCCTACCTCAGGCTTTATCTTTTTTTTTTATTATTATTTTTCCCCAGATCTCACACAAAAAGCCAGCTTTTCTCTTTCTCCAAAGTCTTCTAATTAGTTTGTGCCACAATATGCATGAAAGAGGTGGTTGACAGTACAGGTGGACTGCTGCCCTCTAATTCACCAGTTTAGTCAGTTTTTAGGAGATGCACATTTTTCATTAACATTTTTTTTTGTTTATGTTGTCTTTTAAATTTATTTTTAAGGTGTAAAAAGTCATGCTTGTGAGCAATGTGGCAAATCATTTGCTAGAAAAGACATGTTAAAAGAACATATGCGAGTCCATGATAATATCCGAGAATACTTGTGTGCAGAATGTGGCAAAGGTATGTCTAATGCCTTGTTTTCCATTAATTGTGATACCTAATAGCAGGTGAATATCTGAGTTAAAGCTACTTCCATTCTTAGAATATTGGGAAGATCCTCAGAGTGCTGTAAATCCTGCATTTCTGAGAGGTAGAAATTATTAATCAGAAGCCTTATGGATACATAAACTACCCCTAGTTTTATACGATCTCGTTTCATGGCCTGTAAGACAAAACTGATTTTAATAAAATTTACTTTTGTTAGATTAAGGAGTGCTTGCCTGACTGAGTTCCAATGCATTTGCAACACAAAAGTGAATACAAGTTAATTTTTTCATTCTAGAATGTTTTCAGGCTTAAGAAATAGAGTAATTTCTCTCTGTAAGAGCCTTGAGAGTCAAAGTTGCTTTGACTTTTTGAATTGTTTGCGTATATAACTTGAACAAATCTGAACTAGTATTTTAGTGGAAGGCAGTAAGTCTGACATCTCTAATGATGTTTTGTCTTTGCTTGTCCCTGCTGTTTTGCTTCGTCCTCAGCGGTTTCTCAGATGTTTTCCAGAGCTTTTGCCTGGAATTAAAATAACAATGACAATGTGCACTGCTACTTAAACAAATAAAAATATGCAATTGTGGATTACACACAGCAGATGTAATCTTAGAGCTCTTGGCTAACAACATGATCATCCTGAGTTCTTCTCTGAAGGTGGGTGCAATGGACTAATTGTCATGCTGTGCTTTTTCTCTCACAGGAATGAAGACAAAACATGCACTTCGTCACCACATGAAACTTCACAAAGGGATTAAAGAATATGAATGCAAGGAATGTCACCGAAAATTTGCACAGAAAGTCAACATGCTGAAGCATTACAAAAGACACACGGGTGAGGTCTCTAAAGATGTACAAAAATTACACTGAATCAGTTACATACTTCCTGAGAGAACTCTTACCTAGACCAGCCAGAGAGTAGGAGGAATACTAATTAAAAAAAATCCATATTCTGCTTTTTGAAAAAGGAGATTTTGTCCTCTTGTCAGCCAAGGCCACCTGTTACACAATTCAGATACATAGTTTGGTTGGTTTCATGTTTTCCTTTTTTAAGAGAGGTGGTTTTGATCTATGGTAGATCTAGAGTGTTGGTTTTGTTTTAAGTTAGTCTTCGGGTTCTTATTTCCCAAACCAAATTTTTACCTCCTGCATTAATTCCTGTTGGATTCATTTTCTGCCAGATACAGTGGCATGGCTTAGATAAAAATAGCTAGTGAAGTTAGGCTTTTTCTACTTGTTTTAGTAATATAAGACTCGGAATTGTCCCAGATACCTCAGACCGTTTTCACTCTGATGCTAAATGTGTTCTTCATGCAGGAATCAAAGATTTCATGTGTGAGCTCTGTGGCAAGACGTTTAGCGAGAGAAATACAATGGAGACTCATAAGTTGATTCATACAGGTAAACACTCTAAAAAGCAGTATCCAAAGTTTCATTTTGTTCCTAGGCTTGCTTTAGACTTGCCAGTCTTGGAATTAGTGTCACACCTCAAGTTACCAACATAGAATTGCTCCTTGTGGAGGTGCTGACAGTACAATATTCATCTTTGGGGGCTGTTGCTAACAGCGTTTCCTTCCGTCTGCCACCAGTAGGAAAACAGTGGACATGTTCAGTCTGTGATAAGAAATATGTCACTGATTACATGCTGCAGAAGCACATCCAGCTTACTCACGATAAGGTGGAAGCCCAGAGCTGTCAACTGTGTGGGACAAAGGTTTCTACCAGAGCGTCCATGAGTCGCCATATGAGGCGTAAACATCCGGAGGTGAGTGAGGTTGGCAGGTAGATTGTGGGGTGCTTTGTTTTTGGTTTTGTTTTTTTTTTTACTTTTTTATTTTTAAGAGAGTTTATGGCCTTTAGTGACTTGAAAGGAATTACCTTTTTTTTTTTTTTTTTTTCTCTTTTTTCTGTCCTTTTGGGTCCAATTTTAGGTAGTGTCTGTTCAGCATGCACTTAACTGAATCAGCCCTTTCATTATGTTGTGTTTCAGTAGTAAACATATCTGATTGTCAGTCCCTGAAAATGAAGTTTTTCTGATTATTTTAAATCTCTTTTTCTGCCTCAGCTTAAATGTATTTTTTTTCATGTTTTGGCTTCATCCATTAGGGAGTATAATTGATTCTTTTTCCCCATTGTGCTCTCTGTATTCAGAAGTAATCTGAAAGAAGTGATGACTAAAGAGGTGATAGCAGCATCTGCTGATGACACAAAATTATTCTTAGTATTAAAGGTGAATGCTGACTGGACAGTATCTGGATGAGAGGGATGTTTGTCTGACCCCAGTGGGGTTTTTTCTGTGTTCTAAATTTCAGAATAGCTTTTGTGTTTCTCCTCAGGATTTCTTGTTTAGGTCGACTTTTTGAGTCGTTCCCTTTGAGACTTTTTTTTACTACCAATTTATCATTAGTATTGCTTTGCCTTGAACTATCCCTATTTTTTATCATCGTGACTGGGAAGGAAATCAACAAAAATCTTTGTTTATTGATTTTTGGATAAAAAATACAGCTACATATCTGCAATCCAGAGGGCAATTTGTCTCTCTTCTTTGATAAGTTGAGATGTGTTGATTTAGCTGAAAATTACAGCATAGACACAGTTGATAGGTTTATAAATAGAAATGCTAAAATAATAAATTTTTTTTCCAACGCATTGTTTTCTACAGAATTCATCACTTCCCAGTGGGTTGTGTTCTGTCTAGAATATGGAAATAAACATATTCTTCTATTGTTGTCTTTAAACTTTGCTGGTTTTCATCAAGAAAGAAAAGAGGATATGCCATAAGGTTATTTTCAAAAAGCCATGGTTACATCCCTCGTGTTAAATGATATGTGTAAAATGTTAGATTACGTCATTTTTGCCTCGTGACAGGATTTAGTAGAGCAATGCAGTATTGTTTGACTGTGGTATGCACTGCTGCGGTTCGCCGGCTGATACCTCTTTGTCCACAGATTCTTTCCGTGAGGATTGGTGATATAGAGCAGCTGCCAGAGATGACTACCATTGACGCCTCCTCAATTGGGATTGTTCAGGTAAATTTGCCATTGCAGAATTCTGGTGGCAGCTAGGTTCCAGGCCTACTGGAGGGTGAGATGGGGACGTTATTTTTTTGGTACGTATCATAGCTGGGCGTAGGCTGATGGCCAAGGATCGTGCTTTTTTAGAGAGTCGGCCCCAGCTTAACGTGTGTAAGCAGATGTGAGCTGTTGATCTGTGTTGTTACATAACACGGGTGCTGGTAAAACGGAGGTAGTTGCGGGGTGAGGTCTCATTTCCTGAAATGAGGTTTTTGTGAAAGTTTGTTTCTTCACTTGAGAATCGACCCTAAACCAGCTTTAGGTGATAGTCTCTTACTTGGGTCTTCACTAAGCAAAATGACTTGATGTTTTGTTTGGAAATGTGTTGCTCCAGCCGGAATTAGCCTTGGAACAGGGAGAATTACCAGAAGGGAAGCAGCATATGAAAGCGCTTAAACGTGGCCAGAAACGAAAACAAAAGTCAGGTGAGGAGGAGGAAGCTCAAGTGCCTGAGGACCCTGCCTTCAGTGAATACACAGAGAAGGAAGGTGAATTCACAGGGAATGTTGGAGATAAGACTAATTCAGCTGTACAGAGCATCCAGCAGGTGAGCTCCACTAGTCGGGTGATGGGTAGCAGGCATTGCTTAGAGCGGTAACAATTCTTTTTTCGTAATAGCAAACCCAAAAGAGTGATTGGACCATTTAGGGGACTCATTTGATAAATTGTGGTAACACAAAGATAAATAGAAACTGAGGAGCTGGACCAGTAAGCTCCTCGTGGTTTTTTCATTTCCTTTAGTGTTACCATCTTGTTTGCCAGATACCACTGACTGGCTGAAGCTGTGACTGAAAGCGTGAAAGGTAATTCGGCTGCTGGTTTTGAATGTTGCCTGTGCCTCCCTCCCATCACCCTCTTATTTCTATATGTGGAAGTTGTTACTTTCCAAGCTTTCTGTGTTCCCCTCTGCGTGTGTGACTTCTCTTGCTGGCAGTAGCAACACGTGAGCCCATCAGCACTCAGGTGGTCTTTGTTGGTGCTTGGTATTTGGTAGTCAGCTGCGAGATAGAAGGTTGAGGTTACTTTTCTGGTTTTCCTCAGGTGGTGGTGACCCTTGGCGACCCGAATGTCACAGCCCCTTCCAGTTCTGTCGGGCTGACAAATATCACTGTTACCCCCATTACGACGTCAGCTGGAACCCAGTTCACAAACCTCCAGCCAGTGGCCGTGGGCCACCTGACTGCACCTGAACGCCAGTTACAGCTGGACAACTCGATTCTCACCGTGACGTTTGACACCGTCAGCGGTTCCGCCATGCTGCACAACCGCCAAAATGACATTCAGATCCAGCCGCAGCCGGAGGCAGCCAATCCTCAGTCCGTGGCCCATTTTATAAACCTGACCACCTTGGTGAACTCCATTGCTCCTCTAGGGAACCAGATAACAGAACAGCATCCTCTGACATGGAGGTCGGTGCCTCAGACTAATGTGTTGCAGCCCCAGGCGCAGCCAACGCCACAGCAGTCAGGACAGCAACAGGTTCAAACAGAGCAACAGCAACAGATGTATAGCTACTAATTTATACTTTGAAAAGTTTTGAAATGGACAGTACTTAGAGACAAAAACGCACAGATGTTTGGAAAATTTCTAATAGGATTGTTTGCTGGATACCAAACAGAGATAGGAAAATGTTTATACAATGAAATGTAAGCTAAAATTGGCATAGCAGCCTGCAGCACCCTAACCCTGAGATTCTCACGCTGTCTCTAGACCTTGCACTGTCTTAAAAAAAAGAAAAACGAAAAAAAAAATCTCACTATAAATTTAGCACCCCTTGCACTGTGTGTTTCATGCAGCAGGATTGAGATTTGAGAGGAGCATCATAATACATCTTAACCAAAGCAGGGAAATCCTAAATATTAATGGCACTGGTGATTTACAAAACCCTTTCAGCCATACCATGTCACTTCTTTCCAGTCTGGAAATTACAGATGAAGACCTTGTTCACAGTGAGGTGGAATGCACTTGTGGTCAGCTGGTAAAGACTGAAATGTAAAGACACAAATGGGCAAAACAATAATTGTCTTGTTTTTTTGTCTTCTTTAGGTCTTGTATCTAACACCATTGGTAAAGTAGGTCGAGGTTGGGGCTTTGGGGTGGGGATGAGTGTGGTGTGGAAGAAAATATACCAATTTCAAAGAGTATTTCCATTTTAGTCATGGGAAAAACCCTGTACCCGTAACACAGTGTTAGTGCTACTTGAATCAGATAGCTGGTCTAATGCTAAAGCAACGTTTATGGTCTTTAGTCAAGTTTGAATCAAACCAGTTAGGAACCGAAAAAAAGAATGTGATACAGTTTTATGTAACTTTTCAAAACTGCTCTTTCGATCTTGCTTTTAGCTGATAGGTCTGAAGAGCAATCAGTCCCCTTTGATCAAGTTCAGGATGTGAATTTTTTTCAATTAGTCTTCTTTCATCATGTAATAAACATTTGAGAAAGCATTCTTTTTATATATATATACGTATATATATATATATATATAGCCTTTGTACTTTACTGTGTGTTCCTGGTGAGTATTTGTGTGAAAAACGCTGTTATCAATAGGATTCATTAATTTTTTCATTCCCCCGTATTGCCCTTTCTCACAGGAATAACGTATGGATTCTATTTCTTCTGTTTCCAAAACCATTTCCAAAATTCATAGCCACATGCAGGATTGTGTGAAATGCAAGAAAAAAGAATGTCTGGAGCATATTCTGTCACATGGAGGCAGTATGCCCTAGTGTATAATGGGCAAGGTTTGCATGACTGTTGGGGATATAAATAGTGGGTTGGGTCAAATACATCATTGCTGATACTACAGTTTCATTCCATTCTCCATACATTGATGTGCAGTCTGGAGTTTTGCATGTCAAGAAGATAGTATCTTTCCCACAGAGAAAAAGCAGCTGATATCAAAAAGGAATAAACTAAAAAAAAAAAAATTTAAAAATGTTGCTACCTGGTATCCTGAAAGGCAAATCTGTCCTTCCAGCTGTGGCCGAAGAGCAAGGTCCTTTGGGGCAGCAGAGTGAGCCGCAGAACGTGCTAAAGGCTTTTGCTGAGGATAAAGCAGCTGCTGTGTGCAGATTGATAGTTGTAAAGATCCTGTCTGTGCCTATCGTATTTATGAAAGTGTTCTATGTATTAGCGAAAATACGAGTAGGAATGACTTCAGCTTTGAAAGTCTGTATCAACATGGACTACTTGACCCCTAAAGGATGCCTTATAATCTCTACATCAAATTCTTCCAAAGTATAAATGTCTGGATATTAAAGTTAACCTCCAGTGGTTTCCTTGGTGCCATAGCGGTGTCCAGAGGCTCGCTATGCTAGGCTCTGTGTAAAGCTGAGTTGCAGTGGGACATGTATAGGCAAGGGGCTTCTGGTGACAGATTTTGGGTGTCAGAGGAGCAGAACGACTTTTCTGTAAATGTCGACAAGCCTATACAATGTGTCTGCATGGAGGGACCTATGTTTCATGGTACAAGGATGCATATCAGAAAGAGAAAATTTCTTTTACTAGTCTGGGAAAGAGAATTTTTCATTCCCTAGCCTCTTCTGTCTTCCTCAGATCCTTTTCACACAATACCATGAGATCCTGTAGTTCTGTTAGCCTCCCGGTATCCTGAGAAATGCAGTTTTATGCTCCTCTGTCACCTGAATTATTTCACCACTGGATCGAGCCAGTTAAATTCCTCCTCAGCTGTCCTGTCCACAAATGCTTCCCCTTCACACCAAACCCACTGGTCAACAGGAAGCTAGGTTTTATTTATGAAATATGTTGTTTATCTACTTGAAAGTACTTGAAACTTTTTTATTTTCCCCTCTGTTTGGTGCATAATAGGTAAAGGCACATTATATTTTGGCAGGGTACTTTGGAGAAAAAAAGCGGGAGGAGGAAAGCAAATGTAGAGTGGCTAGGTCAAGTTGTTATGGTAAATAAAAGATGGCTAACGTCTAAAAAAATACATATATGTATATGTACACACACACAGAGGGAGGGTTACAGTGCTGCAGATAGAGTTTTTACAAGATCAGGGGTTTGTTTAGATGTATGTAAATGGTGATTAAGCTTTTAAGTGGGGTTTTTTCCCCTTAGCTGTAGAGTGAGTACATCTGCTGTATGTTAATACTACTGATGGTAGCACGCATGATGCATTGAATCAGCCTGGGTCATTTTAACATGTAGTTGCCGATTTGATAAGAATTGCGTATGGAGGTAGTCAGCCATTGTAGAGACCTCTCTGACTTCACAAAACCTCTTTATCCTAATGTGATCCTCTGGTATTCTGCACTCTTACGCTGCCGAGCATCCCTCCCGTGCTAACTGGCCTGCATGATTCCATCCAGGTCCAGCCTTTTTTTGGGAAAGGGAGCCTAGGTGAGATTATTTAGCACCCTGTCCAATTGCATCTTTTAAACCTCCAGTGACAGGGACTTTATATCGTGTCCTTGGGAGGTTGTTGCAGTAGATGATTGTTCTTACTGTAAAAAATATCTTAAATAATATTCTGCTTCAGGAGGGAAAATTATAACCACTAGAAGGGCTTTGACTAGGCCAGGCAATAGAAGGTTCTCTAAAAGCTAATCTTCCCAGAGCACTCCTTTAGAAATGATCTTGACTTTCCCTGCACCCATTGCTACGGCGCCTCATCATCTCTCAGCGTGATTTTATTATTGCTACTGTTATTAATGTCCCTACGAGAACACAACTGTATCTTGGGTGTGCTGCAACATGAAACGTTTCAAAACAAATTACTTTGGTTTTGTCTCACGTGAATTATTTTGTTTGGAGAAGTTGGAAATGGATGCCTTTTCGGCCAGACCTTACCTTGGAGAACTATCGACTGCCAGCTGCCCTCCCAACTAAGCCTTTTTCAGATGAGTACCAAAGTTATACTGATGCTGTTTCAAACTGCACGAGAAATAAAACTATGTAAGGGATGTGCAATCGAAATTTCCTTTGCTAATTTGTTTCTGGCCTTTTCAGCTGTAGGATGGGAAGGTTGTTGTTTTCATGTCTCCGTGTGTTGGAGATTTTGCCTAACAAGTGTTCAGTAACAAACTGGAATTACTTCGAGCCAAAGGAGCGATGTTGTGTAGTGTTCTGTGTATTGCCATTGTTTATTGCTAAGACTATTATTTAATTGAATGCTGTCTGTGGCACATGGGCTCTGAAGTAAAGGAGCATCAAGGTACAGAACCCTTTCTCTAGCAGTGTTATTCTTTTCTGGTCCTTAACGCATCAAACATTTTTTTCTTCAAATTGCACAGACTTGCTTCAAAAGCAGTAAGCTTAATCATTATCTCCTAGAACTTTGTACGTCCCACAGTATACAGAAGCATGGGGTAACATTCTAAAATGCTTACTCTATAGCTTGCTACTGGGCAGTAACAGAAAGCAGAGGAGACTGAACCTTTCTTGGTGATGATCTGTGGGGAGTTCTCTCAGGAAGACCTACTGTATCAAGTGCTATTACGCTCTCTAAAATTAAAATGTTCTTTTTAGATGTGTCAGTATGAAAAGTGAGTATTTTTGCAGAAGCCTGCTGGTCAGCCTCCTGTCAGTGTAACCAGCTACGTTTCTGCACCTCTTTAGTGTTCCAGAAATTGTTTTAAGTTAACAGCCAGGTAACAGCTGGATTTATTCCTAGAACTGAATTTTCTGTCAGTTTGTCAGAGTGATTTACTAGCATTCTGCACACATACAGATGCCTCGATTTCTCATCTTGAAAGCTAGGAATGGAAAAGGTACCATACACCCAAGTGACAATCATATAAAAACTATAGGTACTACATGAAAATGGACAGGGTAAATAGCTTTGTTAGCATTGCTGTGTGAATTCTTGTTCGGTAACAAGGTTTCCTTGGTCCTTTTTAAAGTGATGATAATGTCACTTCTAATTACTCTTGGCCTTACGTTTATTGTTGACACAGGCGTACTTCTTGGAAAACCTTTAACCCTTTGTATTTTTGGCATGACTATTCACTGTGGTTGTGTGTTGGCGTCATCTGTTGTAAAGGAGAAGGAAAGGTGCTGGAGGAGGAGGATGCCACTGATCCACGCCACGATGCGCAGCGAAGCTCTGCGTGCAGTTTTGGAGACGGACTGCGCAGCCAAGTGACGCGTGTCTGTGAGATTAGTTCCCAAGGCTTGTTTTCACATCAGGGCTTTGGCCCTATAGCAAACTCGAGGTGTCATGTTGGCAACAGGAGAGAGAAAAAACTGCTTGAGACCTGTTTGTCATCAGCTCGTCTTACAATGATTTTCTTCAGTACTGAGATGCTCCTGTGATATTTGCACTGTATATGGCAAGAAGCCGTTACATTTTCTTGATTAAAAATGTTGGACCACTGCAAAAAGCCACAGGTACTTCACCATACGGTCTAACCGTGGTTGGAAAATACGTTTCTTGCCCTAAAATGCTTTGAGAAAGCTGTTCTGGATGTGTTTTCCCTCCTGGGTGCTGAAGTGCTGTTCCACATGGGTGCCGCTGCCCGTTGAATTCAGACTGGGGTCTGGCGTAGCGAGCCCCTGCAGCACAGCTAGCGATGGCTGGGACAAGCTCACTGTTGCTCAACTGGAATTCCCAACAGCTGAGCTGAAAGGGGCAGGGGAGGTGAGGCTTGTCCAGGAGGCTTCAGTCTCACCAGGGGAGTCAGGATTTCATCAACGCTTGTGGTGTAACGCTGTTTTCCTGCCTTATCCAGGAGCTGTTCTGACCAGTTACAGCGCGT